TTTTTGGTTTGTACGTCTTACTGACATGTGATGTTTTAACATGCAAGAGCTGTCTTCTACAGTTAAATGTTGGGCTGTCTGACCTATTTCTGTTCTTAACTAAATTTATATTGCGATCATCATCGGCTTTGGTCAGTACTGGAGACGTCCTTTGACCAGTCGATTTTATTTCATTCTGCTGGTTTATATCAGAACTTACTGAAGATCTAAATGAGTCATCACTTGATATATTTATCACTGAGTTAGTTCTTTTAACATGAATTTTTCCCTGTGCTGGAAATGAGCTGAAAGTAAATATACAGACATGAAGAAATGAAATCAAATCAAGGTTATCATATTCCAACAAACATTCTTATTTATAAATACACTTATGTACAATAATGTACCAGATCTTTACAAAATCTGAATGATGAAACTATGTACATTTCTAATATCAAAAAAATATTCTTCAATTCATTTCAATGAAATTTTTATCAATATGATAACACAATGAAATTTTTATCAATAAGGATAACATCTTTAATTATTGCTGGAAACCATTAACACAATGTCTTTAATGTAGTTATGCTCTGATTTATTTTGCCCCAGGAACTTGAAATTTAATTGCCGCAGGAACTTATATGTTGTAACTTGTATGTTTTTCATAACGATATATACCATGACCTAATGCTGTAGTCTTTTTATACAAGGATGGGTTTTTGTGCTTTGTTATAGAAATCAGACAGTAATTATTGATAAAATTTCAAGTGCCTGTAGTTTTGCCTACCGCAAGATGGCTTCAGATAGGAAGTCTCATAATATAATTATGTTTCTTGTTTCTATACCAGAATTTTACTGTTTTTCTGCTAGTACAGGTTCATTTTAAATGTTATTGTTTTTTTAATTTAGGAAAAAGAGTATTTGGCATTGTCTGTTTGAATGAATGATCACAGTAATAGGCATATTGTGTATGTTATAAGACTACATCTAATGTTACAGTGTCTATTCTAGGATGGGGGATGGGGGGATTAACTCATATATTGAGAATTTCCCCCATTTTTTTCAGAGGCAGAAGGAAACTTTTTATACAGAGAAAAAAGGAAAAAAGATCAACAAATGTAATAAATTTTTCACTTTTCGGTAAAAATCCCGTTTTTCGCATCCTAGAATAGTTTAATTTCATCAGATGAATAAGTTATTGATTTCTTTAGATGAATAATATAATTTCTGATGATTATATGTTCCAATCTCATCCCCAATTCGCTGTTAAATGTAAAATCCCCAGCAAATTGTTGCTTGTGATCAGTAACTGCCCATATTCAGCCATAGCCAATCAGAGCATCCCTTTTGCATGAGATCTGCCACCATTGTAGGAAGTCGCTCCATTTACTCTCAATCAAAATGCAAAAGGGATGCTCTGAAAGGCTTATGCCAATAATGGGCTTTTACCATTCAAGAGCAACAATAGTTTGGATTTACCATTTTCAGCGAATGGGGCATGAGTCTTGCACCTGTAATGATCATCAGAAATTTAATTATTCAACTGCTGAAATTAAGCTAATCAAATGGTACATAAATATCACTAACCGTGATATTTTTTATTAAAAACTACCAGATTTGAATGTGTCAAATGGGATGCACATATTTTGAAACCTTGCCTCATTTTTCGATTTTTAAGTGTGACGCACATCTAGATTTATCACTGCTTCTATAACTTTTGTTTTCAGGGTAATGTCCTTTGTGTTACAACTTTGCCTTGTCATGATTCTTAAGTATTACAAGTTACAAGTTAATAGCTTAGATAGTTTTGAAATCATCCTACTAATAACAAACAATTTTGACAAAAACTCCAAATTAAAAAGGGTAAAACTCCAAAAATATAGAATTGAAGTATTCAAAGCCTTGTGTTGATATCTTTTAAATTTGAAATTAATCCACTTTTACAAAAATCTTGCATTTAAAAGGGGCATAACTCCAAAAATAAAGCTTTCAGAATAATGTCCCTTGTCTAACGACTGCCTCTTATCATAAGAATGCATAAGTTTCATATTAAAACCTTAATATTGTTATTAAAAATTGTTTGAATAATGGTCTGCATTAAAGCTTATAAATGCAATGACCACAATAAGACTGCAGTTATCATAACAGCCACAGTTTTTTCTTTAAAAAAGATGAGTAAAAAGTGGAATTTCTACTGATACCTTGGTGTATCTGGAATAATGCAGATTGAGTCATCATTGTCCATAATTATCTACTTTCCCGCTTGCCAAAATGAAACCTGAAATACAAAATTTTGGATGAAAATTACAAAGTTTCTATGATATACACAAACATGAATAGTATGCATATTGTTTCTGACTTCAATTTCTTATTAAAGAGATTCATTGCCATAGACAATTTGAACTGAACAACATCTTATACTGTAGAATCTATGTCACATGTAATGCAAAGATGACAGCTCTTTAAAAAGTCTGTCCAACATGTCTAAGAGATTTTAAACACATCCTTCTCCATAGTAACTCATAAAAAAGTACCTGTTAAAATTTCTTGCCTTAGACTTTTCTTCCCTTTAATGGCTCACACCAAAATACATTTACTCACAAGATGATGCACTCGCTTTTTTTTCAAACCATATACTTTTAATCCCTATTTTAACACTATGCATTTTAATAACATAAAAGACATGTTTTTGAACTGTCAGAAGGTATTAGCAAATGACTCCGTCTTACAATACCTAGCCTTTTCATTAAATAAGGGACAATAAAATAACACTTGTAAAGTTGTATATCTTTCACTAGACACTGTAGGCTATTATTGGTGAAATCCCTCAATGCTGCTTATGTTGAAGTTTTTATACAGACATGCTTTTCTCTCTGTCAGGGTACTATTTACCTTATAGGGTACTGGGACAAGGAACTCTCAGGTATGCAAATTTCACAGTATTTTCAAGACAAAAGAGCCATGATGGCCCTGAAATTGCTCACCTGTATATAGGCCCCTGGGCGGGGCCAATTTTAACCCAAGCGATTTTATTTGAACAAACTTGGTAGACACCCATTAAAAGATGTTTTATGATAAATATCTAAGCTCTAGCTCTTTGGAGTTTTAAAAAGAAGATTTTTTAAAAAGTTTTTACTATACACATATAGGGAAAAAGTATGACCCCCCTGGGTGGGGCCAATTTTGACCCCAGGGCTTTTATTTAAACAAACTTGGTAGACACTCACTAGAGGATATTTCATGCTTAGTATCTAAACTCTAGCTCTTTGGGTCTTTTTAATGAAGATTTTTTAAGTTTTTACTATACACATTTGTAAGGAAAATCAATGATCCCGGAGCAGGCCAATTTTAACCCCAGGGCCTTTATTTCATGCTAAATATCTTAGCTCTAGCTCTTTGGGCTTTTCAAAAGAAGGCTTTTTAAGATTTTACTATATACATAAAGGGAAAAACAATGACACCCTGGAAATGTCCTCATAAATCGCAGAGCCAATTTCATCCAAACTTCACAGGAATGTTCCTTTGGTAGACCTATTTTTGTTCACATGGAAATGCGCAGTAGACCAGTCTACGCATCCTTTTTCAATCAGAAATCCTCAGCTTTTAGGTCGAAAACTTACGATTGACCATAATAGCGTTACCAGTAATTTTGCAGTACTTCCCGTAAAAGTTTTCAAAGCCACCAATATCTAGCAGGTACTCGCGTAATCATAAAAGCTTGTTTGCTAGTAGGCCCTTTGGGCCAGCTCTTCGAGCTCAATATAATTATTTTGAAATTTTATACTCTAAAATTTGCCCAAGTTAAATATTTTATCAAAAATTACTAAAAGTAAAATAAATTAAGAAAGAAAATGCAGTCAATTTGTTACTGAAATACTTACTCAGTCTCAAGAAATGTTAGGGTGTTGGGATTGAAATGTCTTACAGGTTTTAAGGGTGTGTGAAAGTGTCTGCAAAATTTAGGTGATGGGGTTGAAATGTCTTACAGATTTTAAGGGTGTGTGATAGTGTCTGCAAAATTTGAGGTGTGAAATGTCAATGGTGCACTTACGAACTGTCGCTATATGTATATGCAGTATTTCGATAGAGCGGAAGTCAGTGCGCGAGCATGCGCTTTGCCATATCTCGTTCAGTTACCGCTCACGTTTTAAACTCAGTTGCTATGAAGCGACACTAAGTGTACATGGCTTTTACAACTAAAATATCAGACAAACACATTAAAACAATACACATAAACTACACATAGTTGTTTTCCATATTAATACGGGGAAGTCAAAAGACCGGGCCCGCGAAGCGGGTCCGGGCTTTGGCTTGCCCGGCTATAGACTACACGTGTATATTTAAAAGAAAATGAAATAAAAAACAATTAAAAAATATATAGAATTCTATACCTATCAATGAAATTTTCAGTGTCAGTTCTAGTCGGGCGCCGCCATTTACAATGTAATGCAATGATAATAAGCGGGGTATACCGATAACGGAACAAATCTCAACTTTTCGGATAAATGATAATTGTCGAGTGTTCCGAGTGAAAACGGAAGCGGTGCATATAATACCGAATGACACCTTTAAAACGGAAAGAATGAAAGGAATTTTTAACGACTTCCCCGTTCATAGGCTTTGCCTAATTTCATATTATTTTGCATTTGAAACTGATAGTCAAACAAATATCTCAATATTCTTACCGATTTAATGTATTGTTTACATGTGATGACAGCAACGCTGTGTGTTAGATTACTTTCGGTTCAGAAAATTCATTTGTTTACCATCAAATCTAATATGTTTACCATAGGAACCATATATAGATAGAAAGCAAATTATACAAAGGTAAAGAAAAAATTGTCCGTTTCTGAACAAAAAATCGAATAAATAAATACAAAGTCTTTTTAAAAGGTCCCTTCTTTGAGTTCATTTGAAAGGGGAATAATTTGGTGGAATTTAAGACAGGGAAACAGGGAGTTATCATTCATGGCTAGGGTATATGGCCGACTGAAATCATGCAAGCAAGTTTGTAAGTGCGGTGTGTGTGAAATGTCTTGTTCCCTGGAAAAGAACTGTTATTACGCGGAAAGTCCGAGTGGGGCCAAAGGCCCCGCGAGGGCTGTAGCGCTCTTAGATAACATGTATGACGCGTATCAATTCAAATGAAATCAAATTAAAACTAAATGCAAATTTAAAAAAAATATGTATCCTATACCTAATGAGCTGTATACCTTATGTCGGTCAAAAGCTATACATAGCTTATGTTTTGTAAAATGTTATATATATACCGACAATAAATAAATTTTGATTTGATTTGATTTGCTGTGAAAAAATCCTTAGTTAACTGGGCCCCGCCATTTTGAAACCCTTTTGAGCTAAATATAGATATCACAGCGCTTTTAATGAGCGTCTACATAATTCAGACTATTGCTAGCAGACGCATGCTTAATAACACTTCCGGTGAAAGAATGATGTACAAAATCAGAAAATAAACATTCACTTCATTCATAAGAACTATAGTAACAATGATAAATGTAAAAAGTTACTTTAAAATCCTTTTTGATAAATTAGCACATTAAAAATAACGTAAAAACAACATATGTGATAAGAGATTAACAGAAAATGGCGGACGGGATTTTCCAAACGCCGACGCATGTGCAGTGGTCCCTCTTCCGATGATAGGTTGAACACCACCAATTTATTCGTTTCTGTTTACGGTACAAAATATTCACGAATTGCATGATAGATCTATCTGGTTAACATGTACACTAAACATGTGATGCTTAAATCATAAATCATTTATAAGAGCTTTCCGCACCATAGGTAGCACCTAATTTCATATGAATCCGGGTCAGCTCGGCCCTAAAACGTACTCGGCCCCCGAGTCAGCTCGGCCCTATTCCAACTCGGCACGGGTCAACTCGGCCCACTTTTCAATTATTAATATTTAGGTTTGTGTTATCACTATTTATTGTAATTATTTGTAATACACCTATCGACAGTTTCCGAATTAGCAGCAGACAGGCTTTTCTTATCAGTAGAATTGCTAGTAAACAGGCCTCGACACTAACTTTTTTAGCAGGTGGTAAGCCGGACCACTAGATTTGAAATTTAGGTGGTCCTTCCAGAAATCAGGTGGTCAATTATTATTATTATATTATTTCATTGTTCTTGAATTTTTTACAATTTAACTGAAATTTTAGAAAGAAATACTGCAGTATGTTTAAAATTGATGACAAAGATGTATAATTAACCTTTAAATAAAACAGATATTTTTTAGATATGTATTTTTTCATCTCATCAGAAATTAAAGAGAGCTAGTCATTAGGTATTATATTGTAAAGTTCTTTTTTTATATCATTCATAAATACATAACAGGGATCGTATTTATTTTATCTTTTATATTGAAGTGATTTCTCCCTTAACTCATTTAGTTAGGGAATAAGGAAACCATTTGTGTCTTATTTTCTTACTGTTATTCAAATTTTCATTGCTGATATGTGGTATGTCTTATAATAATGATTATAAATCATCTTTTATAGATTAACATTTTAAATAAAACTATTTCATTATCTTATCATTGTCTTTCAAAAACAAGTAAATATCTAAAGGATAACAAAATTAATACCGTCGTTATATATAATTATAGTTTAGCTAATTTATCTCACACATTTATTATGAATACATAATTTTTTCGTCCGTGTTGCTTGTTGGTTGGTGTTTATTTTTTGACATTGATTATTATTAACTTTTTAAAGTAATTTTAACTCTGGAAAAAATGGATCTCTAATCGTTAAAATAAAGATAGGCAGCAAAGAATTACTAGATAAACTCTTGCCATTTCATTTCGTCTGCTGCCATTATTCAAGTATCTGAAATTCATAAGTTTATCCGATATCCCATACAATATCCTTATAACTAGCATCATTTGCATGAATGTTGTACCTAAATTGATATCACAAATTCTTAACTCTTTTAACTTATATCAACAAAATTTTAGCGACTTAAAATGAAAGTTATTGTTGACTTAAAGAACTTCTTTAACTAATCAGAGATTAATGAACTATATACATGCACATCGGCAAATGATTTAAACAAAATTATATAACATGTTTTTGACCAAATGGCCATTTTTCCCAAATGAGCCTTGCATCAGTCAGAAAATTCAAGTGGTCCGACGGACCAGTGGCTTTTAAAATTAGGTGGTCCTTGCCAAAATCGGGTGGTCTCGGACCAACGGACCACCGCTAATGTCGAGGCCTGGTAAAGATAATCACTGTATTTCTGACTTAAATACCTTCAGTGTCAAACAATGTGTTGAAATATATAATGTTACGGGCTATTATTATCAATCAGTGTGTATGCTAAGGATACCGATTAATTAGGTGATAATTATGATTGACTCGTTCATTCCAATTTGATTAGTGACCACCTGCAATTAATTAGAAGCTTATGATATGAAGCAGAAAATGCCTCTAAGGAAACACATTTTGATTAGATCGATCTATATTAATTTTATCGAATCTGCAAGACAAATAAATAAAAAAAAATCTAAATCAGGGTTCTCACTAGGACTTTAAAACATGGAGTCCATGGACTCCCAACCCTGAAAAAGTTGGAGTCCAAAGCGCGTCGCAATTAATATGTTTACAGATTAGTCATTCAATGCTCACAATAGCATTGGTGATATTTTGAATCTTCAAGAGACTCCCAAAAAAGAAACTCTGAACTACATAGTATAATTATTGTTTTGTTGTTAATATTTATTATGAAATTATTTCATTATAATGCATCAACACATGGAAATCGTTTTTTTTTTCACTTTTATACCAAATCAAATTTTATTCTGGTTAAATAAGTCCACTCTAAAGACAAAAAGTTTATATTTGTAAAAAAAACGTAAATGTATATAGGCAGCGTTTAGCGGAATGAATAGGAAAATCTTGTACAGCTTCACACAGTGTGTAAGAGATTCATCCGATCGACAATTATTTTAGCAATTATCTTCAAAAGGGGGCAAATTGAAGATCGATATCTAAAGATTTAATGTTGATTAAATAATAAAGGAACAATTCATTGGAAACCGAGAATTTTTGCGAAATTTTTGGGTTTCTGGCGAACGTGAAATCGCCGATGTTTGGTATCAATTTTCGGTTAGAATCTAAATATCAAAGAAAAGTGAATGTGTATTTTGGTTTGTTGTCCTGGCATTTCGGCACAATATATTAAATTCTTAATTCTCTTATAGAAAGATTTTGCAAGAATGAAACTAAAGCAAAATTGTGCCTAGAAAATGCCGAAAATATTCGACAATCATTCAAAATTACACTCATTTGTAATTTTGAGAAAACAGTCTTTAAACCTGCGGCGTAAATAGTCGATAATTTTACCCTTTTGTCGGTAAAATTTGCTACTTTCCAATCAACTGTTAATCATACATATAAAATTATCACCTCGTGTTATATCTGGTAATTGCATGTACTGTACAGCGTGTGTATACATTAGTCTGATCACTATTGCGTGATAATGATCGGAATGATCACTGATTGGCTAATCGCTTCACGGGTCGATGTGCATAGGACCGCCTACCTATAGACTGACACGCGCTGACGCATTTGTGTATTTGTGGTTGTAAACAATCCGTAATGTTTATGCGTCCCCAGGCAAAATTAAGCGTACGTGGAATCCTTGCTCTGAAATATTTGCGTCCAGCTGTAATAAACATGCGTACCGGGACGCCGAAATAAGCGTCCCCGAGAACCCTGTAAATGTACTTATTTCGGCAGAAGTATAATTATTTAATAATAAGATATTTCTCATTATTCATTTACCTTAACAAAACGCAAAGCAAAGTTAATACGGGGAAGTCAAAGACCGGGCCCGCGAAGCGGGTCCGGGCTTTGGCTTGCCCGGCTATAGACTACACGTGTATATTTAAAAGAAAATTCAAATAAAAAAAAAAATTAAAAAATATAGATCTATAGAATTCTATACCCATCAATGAAATTTTCAGTGTCAGTTCTAGTTAGGCGCCGCCATTTACAATGTAACTCAATGATAAAAGGCGGTGTATTCCGATAACGGAACAAATCTCAACTTTTCGGATTAATAATAATCGTCGAGTGTTCCGAGTGAAAACGGAAGTGGGTACATATAATACCGAATGACACCTTTAAAACGGAAAAATGAAAGGATTCTTTACCGACTTCCCCGTTCATAGGCTTTGCCTAATTTCATATTACGTTTGTTATATATATTATTGTAAAGTGGGCCGAGTTGACCCGTGCCGAGTTTGTATAGGGCCGAGTTGACTCTTTTCTATTTCATATTATAGTGTTAACTTGAGATTTTAAAATGTAATTTTAAGCTGTTTTAATTTGTCTATAAATCTAGTTGATGGTTTGAAATGACCTTTGTGCTTGGCAGCGGAGAAAGTCGCAAATGTACTTGTACCAAATTTAGCAGTATTCAACCAAAAAATTATTATCTAAAACTGGTGTAATTTGGCAAAAAATTTTATCAGCACACTTTTACAAACAAACTCATCGTTTTTAAGTTCAAACCGAAAAAAATGATTCAAATTGAAAGAGAAGTTTCGCTTACTCTTTAAACAAATATAATCTGGGTATTTTTAATTTTGTTTTGATTCCCTCTCAGTAGGCGACGTGAGAAATACTATCTTATGATAATAAGAAATATGGTTAAAAACGAAAAAGAAAATTGACTTAACACGAAAAGGTCAACATTTCATGAATTACTTATTCTTAGTTTTTAATTTTCTTTCTTTTTTCTTTCGTTCCCTTTTTATATAGATATGTGAATTATAATGTTGAAGCCAGACCATTGAAAATTGAATTTTTAATATAGAAATTTCATCAAATTTATATTCTGCTCCCGTCATATTGGATATTGTATAATTTGTAACAATCTTTAAATTGAAGGTTATATAATACATGTATATTGTTTATCAGTCGGGCATACTTCCTGATCGGGAAACAAGGGGGTTCCCCTTCAAGGCTTCCCGATCAGGCAGCAAACGTCAAAATCCTTCCCGATCAGGAAGGTTTTTGGCCCTTTTTTACGTAGTTCAGGAAAAATGGCCGGTTCATAAAAGTTTTCAACCCACTTCAATATGAATATCACACTTAAGTGCAGAAAAGATACATCTAAAATCCTACCGAGTCATTTTCTTTTAAAATGTCTAAAATTAAAATAATGTGAAAGTGAATTTGAGTGAAGTTTTACGATTTTACTAAGAAGTAACGGCTTCCCGTTTTGGAAACACTGTTTCCTGATCAGGCATCTAGCATAATAATCACCATTAAATGTTTCCCGTTTAGGAAGTTTTATTCTTTAAGTTAGCGCGTTCTATTCTGGAATTATTGCTTGGGACAACACCAGCAAATAAATTTATCTGTGCAACAAATCAACATGTGAGTCATGGTGTGAATGTTTTGAAGTCTGGAGTGTCCAGCAGTTCAGATACAAATGATAGCATCATAGGTGGTGTATTCTCAAATATTGTAAAAATGAATATTTGAATATATTCGAATATGGAAAAACGAATATTCGAACATCAATGTTCTTATTCGCTCCCGGCCCTAGTTATTTTTAAAATGCCCCACTTCGAAGAAGAGTGTGTGTATTGAGTTGCTAATGTCCACACAATATCTGTATGACTATAAATTGTATGTATACAATTGTATGTTGAATAAAATATATGTTATGCTATGTTATGTTAATATTAGTCGGTCAGTCCATCGGTAGACCTCACTTATTATATTAAAAAATATTTATCACAAAGTCTTCATATTTTACATACTAATTGGTCATAACTATAGTAGATGAAAACTATTGATTTCAGGGTCCCTTTGTCAAAGGTCAAGGTCACAGGGACCCTAAATGTCAGAATGGTTTCCGCTCATTATCTTGATAACTTTTTCTCACAAAGTCTTTATATTTCCAAATTAATTAGTCATATGTAGGAGATGACACCTATGATTTTGTGGTCATTAGTTTAAGGGTCTAGGTCACAGGGGCCTTAAATATCGGAATGGTTTAAGCTCATTATCTTGAAAACTATCTATCACTAAGTCATTATATTTCACATATTGATTGATCGTAAGTAATAGATGACCCTTTTTATTTTGGGGTCTTTAGGTCAATGTCACAGGGACCTAAAGTATGTTTGTTTATCCGTCGTTAGACCATATTGTTTCTGCTGATTATCTTAAAGACAATTTATCAAAAAGGCTTTATATTTCATATATTGATTGGTCATAACTATTAGATAGCCTATATTGATTTTGGGGTAACTAGCTTAAAGGTCAAAGTTACAGGTGTTTTAAATTTCGGAATGGTTACCGCTCATTATCTTGAAAACTATTTATAAGAAAGTCTTCATATTTCACATATTGATTGGTCGTAACTAAAAGATGACCCTTTTTGATTTTGGAGTCACTAGGTCAAAGGTCAAGGTCACAGTGACTTGAATGTCAAAATAGTTTCCGCACAATATCTTGAAAAGTATTTTTCACATAGTTTTCCTATTTCATGTGTTGATTAGTCATATGTAGTAAATGACCCTTATTGATTTTGGGGTCACCAGTTTAAAGGTAACAGGGTCCTTAAATGTCAGAATGGTTTGCGTTCATTATTTTGAAAACTATTAATCACTATTTTGAGAACTATTTATCACTAAATCTTTTTTATTCCACTTATTGATTGGTTATAATTAGTAGATGACCCCTGTCGATTTTGGGGTCTTTAGGTCAAAGGTCACAAGGACGTTAAATGTCAGAATGGTTTCTACTCATTATCTTCAAAACTACCCGTTATCAAGTTTTTGTGTTTCACCTTTTAATTTTTCATAACTATTAGATGGCCCCCTATTGATTTTGAGGTCACTAGGTCAGAGGACAAGGTTACAATAACCTTGAATGTTCAAAATAGATGCTCATAGTTACATTTACATGATAGTATATAATTTATTCCAGCTACTCTCCATTTTGTTTAACTTACTAATGATACATTTCATTCAATTTCAGCTAGAAAGGGGGGCATATATGTCATTATGATATTTCTTGTTTTATTTATTTATTTTATCTTATATTTATTCATTTTTTAAAATTAAAGTGGCTTATAGGGTATGTTCTATATCTTATGAAATATTTAAATAGAATTTTAATTTATTAACAGCAAAATTATGCTGGTTCCATTATATGGTTGACTCCTGAAAAAGTAATGTAACATAAAATATCTCTGTTATTAAATACAAATGAATATTGTAAGTAAACAGGAACACAATACTGTTTTGCTATATTAAATAGGGTTTTATCCGTTTAGCAATGACTTTGTGCTTGCGCCATTCGCGTTTACCATATTTATTTCAAACAATCATTTTGGAAGTATACATTTTTAAAATTTTAACAATAATTTTTGCATCAGATATATAGCTTTATACACTTAAGTTTTAGAAATATGACAGTCACTACAAATACATATAGTATGCAAACACGTCTTGAGCTATAGCCAAAAAAATATTTATGTGAGCTCTAGTCAACATTTAACTTAATTATTTGAGCTGCATGGTAATTGTTTTGAGAAATTACACTCTATGCAATGTTGTTCAACATGTGCTTTACAATCTTAACAGTATGAAACTTTTGTATTGTAATGATGATTTTTGTAATGTCCGTCAAGTATAGCTAATGTTTTGATAGGTATTATTACGCCTAACAAGAACATAAGTTTCGCCAGATATATTCTACTCGTCGTGATTGAATTATGTGCCACATGTCTTTAAAAAAAGGCCATGGCTTGGCAATTTCTAATTACTACTACAAATATAAGGTACTTCCTGATTGGGAAGCAATGTATCTTAAACTTTTAATGATGAATATTTTGCTAGATGCCTGATCAGGAAGCAATGTTCCCAAAACGGGAAGTGGCTAGTTTTTGGTAAAATCTAAAAACTTTACTTAAGTTCACTTTCAGACTATTTTACTTGTAAACATTTAAAAAGAAAATGACTCGGTATGATTTTAGATGTATCTTTTCTGAACTAAAATGTAAAATTCATATTGAAGTGGATTGAAAATTTTTATGCACCGGCCATTTTTCTTGAACTACGTAAAAAGACCTAAAAAACTTCCCGATCGGGAAAGATTTTGACGTTTGTTGCCCGATCGGGAAACCTTGAAGGGGAATCCCCTTGTTTCCCGATCAGGAAGTATGCCCGACTGTTTATGAAATAAAAAATATATATCATGTTCAAAATATATAAGCAAATATAAGAATATCCACTATTGAGACCATCACATAAGTAAGACCACTTTGGCCCCATTGATGGTCTTTAAAGCGGGTTTTACTGTATTGTAAAGGGAGATAATTATTTGGAGCTACCACTTGGTAGTTGACTTTTTCCCCACCAGAGAAAAATTATTATACTCAACATCGCTAATTCCGCGTATCACTTATTTCACGGTAATGGCATATTTTCATGTGACCACTGGTCTTCAATTGTTGTGTTTGTAAAAACCAATACTCGGAGGGGGATATAAATTCAACGAATATGCTTGTTATGCCCCTTTTTCGACTTAGAAATTCTTGGTTAAGTTTTTTGCGTGTAAGCTGTTAAGGCTCCCACGTTTACAATATTTTTTGTAAATGTTTACACGGTTGCTAAGAACCGAAACGATATTAAACGGTGGTACTTCTATGTACCATACTACCCTATGTATTCAAGTCGCCAAATGATGATTTACTTTCTATTTTAATACTTGTACAAATAATAAATAATGTTCAGGGCTCAAC